TGTCAGGATTTGGTTATTGAGTGTTGACCCAAAAGCAGAGGCAGAGGTGAATCTATTGTGGATTTAATAATGACTTAACAGAAAACAGAGGCTGGTTATCCAAAAATCCAAAAGGAAAACAAAGTCCAAACAAACATAAAACCAGAAGTCCAAAAATAAAAAAATAAAAAACATTAAAACAAGTCTAACATACCAGAAACCATGGGGACAACAGGGGAATCACAAACATAACGAGGAAGGCACAGAGAGAAGGAGTTGGAGCATGTTGGACGGTGTTTGACGAGGACCCAGCAAAGGGGAACTGAAGAGAGAGGGCTTTTAAAGGAGACAGAGACAAAGAGGGGGCTAATGAGGAAACTGGGAGCAGGTGTGCACAGAACAAGAGGGAAAGAGCTAGGGAAGAAGGAGAACACAAGAGGGCAGCAGAGAGCAACAAATAGAAACCTGGAAGACTGGAAATAACAACACAATGTTAATTTACTAGGAACATAAAACATGGTGAAAAGAAAACTAAACACTCAAAAGAAAACATAACAGAACCCAGACTAGGACAGTAACTGGAAAAAACCAAAGAACACAGCAAGGAGTAAAGCAAGACTGAATACTATAACAAAAACCTGATAGGTGTCATAGTAAACAGAGCTCAATACAGATGTGTGACACAATACATATATTTATGATGTTTGTAATATAAAAAAAAAATAATAAACTTGAGCGTGTGAATACTTACAAATGTACAAATACAAATGTATAAAAAATAGATAGACCCTTGTAATAAAGCATTACAATCATGTTATCATTGTAATGCATGTTATGTCTGCTCCTTTTTTCTTGGTTTTTACATTAGAACTCCTGCTGGTGTCCATTCCCTGGCTGGGTTGCTCATGGATCTACAGCCCAAAGCTGATGGGCCTCTCATCCTCACAGCAGATGCCTTGTACCAGCTTGGCCGGGTAGAGGAGGCCTATAGGTTATTACTGTCTGCAGGTTCCCCCAATCCTCGGGCTCCTCTCCTGGCTCGCCTCGCACTCCTTCAGCTCCACAGAGGCTTTCTTTATGACACCAATCAGGTACAACGGTTAGAGAGAAAAATATTTTTTATTTATTTATGATGATTTATAACATAGCATTAGAGGAGCCAGAAAAGCAAACAACCAAACCCACTTATCCTGTAATTTATTCAAACAACTTTCCAGACATTTAATGTGAGTCATAAAACAAAGACCTTCAGGAAGTCATTTAAAGCCTTTTAGTTACACTTTGTAATTTATAGAAGGTTTATCCAATCCCATGTCTCTACAAAAGGAAACACAGTAAATCTCTCTTTGTTTTATTTCACCTACTAAAACACACAGTTACCAGCAGGTATCTTACTCAGTACAATCATTTTTAATTATGTCTACTATGAGGCATGAGCCAAATAGACAATTTTTCTTCTTCAGTGATTTAGGGAGTTTCTTCAAGGTGACAGTTGGCTCTAATTTCTAGACCAAAGACAGTAGATCTCATCAACTTATAACTTTGAGGGAGTAACTACCCAATTAACTACCCTCTTATCCATTTTCTACTACAGCTGCTGAAAAAGCTTATCGCGTGCAGCGATACAAGCTGCCTGCGCAGCCTGCTGGCTGTGGCACAACAGAAAGACCGAGCACTGCTGCAGGGACACTGTCACGCTGCGGCTAAACGGATCCTGGACGGCTCAAGAGAGGAAAGCTCTGTCAGGGAAGCTGTGACGCATCTCTCTATTGCTATCATGGCCTCTGGTGATTCACTTTACTTAAAAGTTCTTGATATTGTGTTGTAAAAAAAAGCAATTATATTGGAATACTGCAATCTTTTTTTAAGGTGGCAAGGCAGCAGATTCTCTGCTGGAAAGAGCAAGATGTTATGTATTACTTGGCCAGAGAAAAACAGCCATATTTGATTTCAGTGCCATTTTAAAGGAGCGTCCAAAACATGTTGCTGCTCTCTGTGGAAGGGGATTCACATACCTCATGCTCAATCAACAAAAGGTATTTTTCTTTTAAAACATGTGAAACTGTCTTAACAGTGGATGGGTTTCATCTGAATCTAAAAGATCCAGAATTTATGAATAACAGAGACTCAATAACTCAACAATTATTTGAGAATTTTTGGGCCGATCAGATAAAACCATCTTAGTATTTTTACAATATTAGCCTGCTATATATATGCAACTGTGTGTCACCCTGAGTCAACACATAGGCTTTTTGAGTAGTCAAGCAGATCTTCTGTACTAAATGTATTTGTTTATTGATGCATGCTATTGAGAAGTTTTTTTCCCCCTTTAAATCTATCCTAAACTGGAATAAAAATGAAACTCTAGTCTTCATGATGTCAGAGGTCACAGTAACTATTAGCAGTTGGCCAATGTTAAGCTTGTGAGAATGATAGTGCTGACATCTGTCACAGCTTTCTCTTCTTCCTATCCAGGAATGTGTTCAGGATATCCTCACAGCTCTTCAGATAGAAGCCGAAGCAGTCATCAAAGAGATCCTTCTTCTCAAGGACAAAGCCCAGAAGCTGCTCTGTGATTGGCTGCATCAGTTCTGTCGCAGCACTTTGTCAAACACTGTGAGCACTCATTCAGTTCCATGCCACAATGAGCAGCTCAGGGAGGCTTTCCTAATTGGTGGATTTTTAATGAGAACTGACAGCAGAAACCCCAAATGGCATCTTCTCTATGTAGACACACTTTTAGCTAAAGGTTGGTCACTGTCTTAACAACATGTACAAAGAAAATATGAAATTGTTTCTGTCTGAACATTTTCTAGCTATAGGGCTGTAGTTTGGCTGTCATTAGGTGGGTCTGTCTCCTTCAGGTGATATTAAGTCAGCTTCCAGCCATCTCTGCAAGGTATTTGGCTTGGAACCAAGGGATGCAGCAGCCCAGGCCAGGCTGGGAGTGTTGGAAACCTGGCAGCAGAAATACAGCACCGCAGCCTACAGGCTCAGCAAACTCCATGAAAAAGATAGACCTAGTCTGGACTTCTTGCTGGCTCTGATCCCATTTAATCAGCGGAAATACGTGGCACAGGTAAGTCTTAGTGCAAGAGTCAAACCCTTAGTACCACTGTGAGAGTGGGGGATACATTTTGGTATTAGATTATCCTAAACCAGGGGTAACCAATTAAACATCAATGGGGTCCAAATAAAGAAAATCAGCAGTAAAGGTCAGCAGAATTTTTTTATTATAATCTGTTACTATAAACGAAATTTAACTGAAATAAAATGAGGTGTTTATGCATCCATTGAATATTTAAATAAAATTAAAAAAATATTTTTTTTTTTTTACTTTTTAAAGATCTAATATGTTTTTTTAAGTAGAGAACAACAATCATTCAGTTTGGTAAATAGGTAAATAGACATGTTGTTCATGATTCACATATTATAAAACACCTGAACTGACCACTTTTTTTTTTCTTAGCTTTTTATGGCTTAATGAGAGCAGTGGGCTTTACGCTGCCCTGCAAGGCTTTAAACCAGGCTTTGAATGGAGACAAAGCCATTCTCAAGCATATATCAAGGTTCTCGTTTTGAGCCTGGATCCATATTTATTTTTAATTATGGTCATTCTCAAGAATCCTGCTTCACAGCAGTAGGTTTAGCCAAATATACTCAAATTGTGTCAGGGCCTTTCACCAGTTCACCGCAGTTCTTCCAGCAGTCCACACTTTCTTTCACTTTTTCTCATCATCTTCTCCTTCTTTCCCATCGCCCGGCTTGCTGCAGGTTTGCCTGCTGTGTCTCAAAGTAGCTAGCAGCAGCAGCCCTAATTGACACAGTTAATTGGCTAATTTGTATCACGTGTTAATCCTGGGACTGAGGTTCATTTCCAGCAGGACAAAGACCCTAAAAATTAAGCCAACGCTAAAGAGGAAGAATTTTGAAAAAATATATGCATTTATTTAAATGTTGTCTGAACCAGAATATGCCACAAAACCTAAAAACTGATCTTGATAGAAACTCGATATCAAACTGGGTTTATTAAATTCAGCCTATAGGTGTGCTAATATGAGATTCTCACATTAGTACAAATGTGAGAATAAATGCATGCCACGTATATTTTTATTTACAAATATATATGCGCCATGTTTAATTTCTCTTTAAATTTGGAATCATGAAACATTTTGTGACCTTATGTAAACAGGTCAAGAGGTGTCATTTTGTGTGGTACTGCATTATTATAAAGTTTGCTTTAGTATCTTTTAACTTGGTTTTTAATTTAATTTAGTTATCAATGTTCACTAAACTCAATTATTCAATAAAAAAAAGAGAGAAATATAAATAGATCTGCTTTTTAAACCTCAACAGGCAGCAGCCCAGGAAGCCAGCGTCTTGTCATCATCTGGTCAGTGGGACCAGGCTCTCACACTCCTGACAGTGGCAGTACAAGCAGCGGGCCATCACAGATCACAGTATCTTCGCCAACGGGCTGCATGCTTGGCACAGCTTGGCTTACATGGATTAGCCATAGCTGACATGGACAAAGTTATCCAGAAACATGGACCTGTCGCTAGCTGCCCAGACGACCCCAGAATCTGCGTGGAAGACATGTGTCGGCGAGGCCACAGCTTGGTGCTGTGCTCCAAAGAAGGAGCAGCTCTGGAGGATTTCACTCAGGCTCTGGGCCTCCACAAGGAACAGGCCCTTCACTGCATAGAGGAAGGTCTCGGAAAGCAGCGTCTGGCTGAGTGCTTCATGCGAGGGGCTCTGCAGCAGTATGGGGAGCAGCAGCTTGATAAAGCTTACACACTGACTGAATATGGCCTGGTTGTGGACAGTGAGAACGCAGAGCTTCGCAGACTTAGATCAAAGGTCAAACGAGAAGTGGCCAGCCCATGCAATGTCAACTAGCACTGATTAAAAAACATAAGGTGGACACAGAAGCTTTGTTTGTTGGAGAAACGATCAAACTGATGAAACATCTTCTAGATTCTTATAACATAAATCCTTGTTATTAATGCACATCACTTTACTTGATGTCTTCCACGATGGAGGTATGTTTAATGTGAAATATATTGTTATTTTTTTAGTACTGAACAACACAATCAGATTACCTGAATATAGTACATATTACATTTACCATCAGAACATTAGTAAAGTCACTATAAAAACAAGCAATTGATATAGGTTCTTAATTGACAGAAAAGCAGGACTTCAACCCATGATATTTATTTCAAACTGTCCCTCCTGAAGAGGAGTATTTTTAAAAAGTGCCAAATGTGCAGGTTTCGAGTTTTTAAAATGCAGGAGACATTTCTTAAATTTTATTCATGGCAGCAAACACTCTTTGAAAAGCCAAAAAACAAAAACAGAAAAGCAACAAATAAATACTGGGTTTAAAATGTAAAGGATAATTTAAATACAATATCCGGGCATTAATATGTTTATCTGTATGGGTTGAGTTAATTGGGATTCATTAAAGATATGCTTTTACTGTTTGTGCATTATATGTAGAGAGAGACGCAGCATGTACTTTGTCATTAAGCAGACACAGTGATATATTGGGGCTCCATATTGCCAAAGTAGGATTTCTCCCATTCACTCATGAGGTCAAAGTGTAGTGGACGGTCACAGAAGGTACAGGAGGCTGTGGCTGGGCTATTGAGAGGGAGACCCACCTCCTGCCAGACATCCATGAGTTTCACTGTAAGTACAAAAAGGAAATTGATAATAGTTAGGAATTTAAAACAGATTTGTGTGTGGGTGTGTGTGTGTGTGTTTTAATTTATGTTGTGACAGAGGTCACCGAAACACTTTAAAAAGATAAATCCCCTGCATGGACTCATGCATTTCTGACCTCAATGTAGTAAAAATCCACACTCACCCACAAAGTCCTCCATCATGCTGGGGTCATGATGGGGAGATGGAGCAAGGCGCAGCAGCTCCTCACCACGAGGCACAGTGGGGTAGTTAATGGCCTGGACATAAATGTTGTGTCTCTCCATTAAGATGTCGCTCACCTTAGTGTTCAGCTCAGCATTGCTGACCTGGAAAACAGGACAGGCACACTTTTATGTAAAGTTTGGAATATATGATGAGAAAAATTATGTAAAATGTTCCTTTTTATACAAAAAAACTCTACAATTGTATGTGGAAATTATCATTTAAACTGAACTTGGCAGTATATGACTAATTCTAAATATAAGGGGACCCATCCTACCCGAATGGGGATGATGTGGCTCGGGCAGTTAATGACAGGTAGGCCTTTGTCCATGAGCAGCTGCCTCATGAGTTTCACATTCCTCTGGTGGGCCCTGCGCAGCCCCTGGCCCTCTGTGCTCCTAAGGACCCGCACAGACTCCAGAGCCCCAGCCAGGACCATTGGGGGCAGCGCAGTGGTGAAGATGAAGCCTGCTGCGTAGGAGCGCACCGTGTCCACCAGGGCAGCGCTGCTGGCAATATAGCCTCCGACGCAACCAAACGCCTTTCCTTAAGCAGTAACATAAGACTGATTATGTCTGTGCCAGTGTGACATGAATGAGTAAAATAATGTAATTATTTATTATTACAATCAGGCTGTATAAATATATAAACTTAAGTTATTGTTTCTTTACAATGCTAACAATTTTCGCAGACTTTTTTTTTTAGAGGATGAATAATATATAATGCACAACCTATTACGTTTAATGGAGCATAATATATATTTTTTTCTTTTAATATATTTGGAAAGATTTTTTCTAAATGACATTTAATCAAAGATTTCCTCAAAACAAATTCAGAAACAAGTTTTGTGATTCTCAGCAGAAAACAGTTTTAAAGGTTCAATTACACTGTTGTCTCTATCTGACATCAAAATAATTTAAACATTGCTTGTTTTAGGGTAAATTATTCCTGTTTGTTAAATGTTAGGATAATTAGATTTTTAAAAATGTCTTCAATTCCATATGTTTTAGTCTTCCCAAAAGATGATGTCAGAGCATTTTAAAGCTTCTGATGGGTAGATTAATAACCTTTTTGATAAACAGAGGTACACCTAAGGCCAAACTTCCAAACACATTGATTCCTCATTTCAAAAATAAGTTTTCTTTTTCCGTCAGGGTCATGGTGGGTCTATTATATAATATATAATGGAAATAGAAATGATAAAACTAAAAAAAGTTTTTGTAAATGGCAACTAATCTAGAACAAAAAGAATTAGCCAAATTACAAAAAACAAAGAGTTTCAGAAATGTATATGTAACTATTTTAGGAAATGTTCTTTTACTTTTTACAGCAGCAACATCTTCTATCCCAATGTTCAGCAAACAAAATTTACTGCTGCTAATTCCAGAGTTTTTTGTTTGTGCAAAATATATTCCAAACACACAATATATAAGCCCTAGTTTTAAAAATTTAATACAGGTCAGTAATATTGCTGTTCATCAGTTCTCTACAGTTCCATGGTCTCAGTGTTATTGAATGTATATTAAATGATTAAATAAAGGTAAAACTCCTGGAGCGTCGCACCAACAGGACAAATGAGATGCAAATGTCAAGGGTAATAATCTTGGATTAGTTTATGTTGTTTTCTTTCTGAATCATTGCAGCTGTCCTTAGTTACACTCAGCATGAACTGCATGAGGATAGCTTTATCAGTGCCGCCAGAGAGGGAGGAGAACCGACACCCAGCTGATAAAACGCCTGCTCCACTGATGAAAGCTTAAGCCTTTTCTGCACTTCAGAAAAGTCATATGGAGAAAGTTTTTGCGGCTATTTTGGCTTAAGGACAGTGTGTCGGTTTGTATAGAACTGGCTTGGCATTGGAGATTAGCACCGACAGAAACTAATTCAGTTTGAACCTACATATTTGCACTTCCTTTACAAAGTTTGTAGAAATTAAAACAGAATAATTTTTTATGTCAAAAATAATTGACAATTTCCAAAATGAAAAAGCAAAACTGTTATATTTCAGAGAAGCTATTTCAAACAAACTCACCCAAGGTTCCGGACACCACATCAATCTTATGCATGACGTTGTCCCTCTCTCCGACTCCGGCACCATGGGCCCCATACAGACCCACAGCGTGGACTTCATCCACAAAAGTCAGGGCTCCATAGCGATGAGCAACGTCACACAGCTCTTCTAAAGGACATATGGCTCCTGGAGACCCAAACGAGAGATAATAGGCTTTATTAAAAATTGCAGCACATCAACTGTGCATATGTTCATCTGATTGCTGAATGCACTTCAGTATTTTTGTGTGTTTATCTTTACTTTGGTGGGATTTGGGGGATTTTTCTCAAGCATGTTTACTTAGGTAAAATTCAACAGAGTTCTTAATGCAGTCTCATTTGTTGATAATCCAATATTCTCTTTTATTTTCCAAAAAATCAAGACCAAAGCAGGTTTCCTGATGAACTACTAGTTTAATGCTGTTTTAAAGGCCACAACTTGTGCTAAATTATTTCTAGTATGCAAACCCCTGGAGGAAAACCCTGACCCACCTGTTGTTCAATCATTTTAAGACATGACAACAAATAGAATAGAATAAAACTCTTTTTGTTTGTCATTGTGTATCAACAGCACAAAGCCAGGTAAATGGAAACAAAAAGGACCAACAGCTATTAAGAAAAATAATGAGACACTATGTATTTTTCAATTGCATGAAGGTCCTTATGAATGTAAGAGACCCACCGTTCATTGAGTGCACAGTCTCAAACGCCACTATCTTTGGAGTCTTTGGGTCTGACTGCTGCAGCAGTTCCTCCAGATGTCGGCTGTCGTTGTGGCGGAAGATGAAGCGTTTGGCTCTGCTGTTCCTGATGCCTTGGATCATTGATGCATGGTTCCCTGCATCTGAGTAGATCTCACAGCCTGCACAGAAGAGAGAACACCTCATAAAATAAATGGCTACTTATATCCAGAGTTCGGTGGATTTGGTTCAGACTGGAACAACTTTCTCTAGTTCTAAATTTTCAATGTATTCATCCAGCTCACAGGTTCCACTTACCTGGAAGCATTTTAGCCAGAGTGAAGAGGGTGGAGTCATTTGCAACAAAGCAGGAGGAAAACACCAGAGCAGCGTCTTTCTTGTGCAGCTGGGCAAGCTCCTTTTCCATAGTCACATGGAAGTTGCTGGTGCCAGAAATGTTCCTGGTCCCACCTGCTCCTGCCCCGTGATTCTCCAGGGCATCTCTGAGGACAACCACAACATCAAAATACTTTGGCAAGCTCGAATCCTTTATTGTATGAAAATTTGATTATTTTGACAATAATAGTCAATCTATTTATGTAGTAATATTGTCTAACTTGAAATATAATAAGACTTGTAGTAAGCTTACAAAACAATATAAACATGGATCGAAGATCCTTAATTCAGCTTGCATGAAAACTTTTTGCAGGTCACACAGTAAGGCACTTTGGGCAGAATGTACTCATGCTAACATAAGATTGGATCAGCACCAGAATCTGATTCGATTTGGAGACTAATGGTCAGAAACTAATCAAAAAAGTGGAGAAATTTGATCTCAAGCAAATCTGTTGTGATCCTTAACTGTCTGGAAACTAGAGTTTAACTTATTGGTTAAGATATCAGAACCAGTGAGGTTTAGGAATATGAGGTTACAGAACCTTATTCTGCCATCTTATCTTAACAGGCTTCTCTGTTTGTAATGCTGTCTTTTATGAGAAATAGAGATGAATGTTTTCAGGATAATTTTTTTATGTTTTTAATTTTTATTAGTTTCACTCTCTTTACAATCGCTTACAGATTCAGATGTATAATCAGAAACAGACCAACATTTTTTTTCTGAGAAATGAAATAAACATTTTGTCAATAAGTGACTTCAAGGTTCGGGCTTAAAATTAAAATGAAGTAATCATTTTGATATTTTTTTATACTGATAGAATATAATATAATATAATATAATATAATATAATATAATATAATAGAATAGAATAGAATAGAACAGAACAGAATAGAATAGAATAGAATAAAATAGAATAGAATAGATCAGCAAAGGAAAAAAAGACCAATAGGAAAATAAGTACACTAAAGAATGTTTTTATGTTGCTATGTTATATTTTTGTTTGATTTTTCTGAATGCCTTTGATGTTTGGATTTCATTTATCAGAGATGTTGAACCCTGTTCCTGTTATTTTAGAAAAGAAGATTCTGATGCAGGAGAAACAGTTTTACAGTAAAAGCCAAACTTCCACCTAAGTTGAGTCGGACGCCAAAACATTTACTGGACAATGAACAAAACGGATTTTAAATATTAATCTTTCAAAATGTTTAGGCAGAATACTGCACAGAATAAAGAATAATTAGAATAGACTCAATAGACAGTCTCTGGATCTGCCTTTCTTCTGGATATTTTTGTGAATGCTAATGAACTCAATTAGAGACAAATATAAAAATAAACTGTAATACAGTCAGGTTTTACCTGCAACTGCGTCTACATACCTAATAGCATCCACGACCTTCGGGTGACGGCTCATTCCTAGATAGTCATTGCTGCACCACACGGAAACCTGAGAGGCGTTTTCAGCAGAGCTGGAGTAATCCTCTGCATAAGGGAATTCTTTGGCACTCCTGTTCACCGTCTTAAACACTCTGTAAGTGTGATCCTTCTTTTTCTCAGCGATCTTCTCCATAAAGAAGTTGTCATAGTCATAACTTGGCCCAACTGGAATGAGGATTATATAGGCATAAAATCAGTGCTCAGATACAAGTTGCCTCAGACGTTTGTAGGGAATTAAACATATAAAATAAAGAACATGTTGGAACTCATAAAGCTCACCCATGTTGTCATTGAGTTGGATGGCAGTGTTGGTTTGAAGGGACGATGGAAACACAGACTCTTTTAAACCTTTCAACAGAGAAGTCATCAAACCTGCAAGAAGTAGAAGTAGCTTTGAGAGTCCATATATGTGCATTTTTTGAAACTTGCTTCTCTTAGAGCCAAACTTATGATTTCTGTGGTCTTTACCAGCATTTCATACCTTCTTCAACATCCTCCTGGACCTCAGGGCTTGCCTTCACCATCCCAATCTGCGATGTTACAAAGGGGCAGCCCTTCGATGCAGACACTGCAACCTGAGTGGCAGTTTGAGCAAACCTCCTCCTTTGGTCCAGTGTTGGAAGCTGGTGGCCATTTGGCCTGGTGGATGATGAACTCAGGTTTTTCTCCAGAGAACCTGTACCGCTAACTGTGATCTGCCGAGCAATGATTGGACATTGGTCGGCAAGAGAAAGCAAAGCAGCTCCAGTTCTTCTTAGAGCTGGCTTTGGAACAGCCTTCAGGAAGGGGCAGTGATGAAGAAAGGCAGCCATCTTACAAAAGCTGTTCTTATTCTAATAAAAGACAGGAAAATAAGGCAATCAGTGAGTAATGCATGGGTTTTATCAGATGGTAAAGCAATCATGCTTTTGAAATAATAGTAGTGGGACTAAACCTGTAATAGCAGATGTAATGTTTCAGGTTTTTTTTTTTTTGGGGGGGGGGGGGGGGCTCTACTTTAGGGTGTGTCATTCAGCTTCAGCTTATCTGTTCACTGCAGGCGCTCAAGAGCTGTCTTGACCGACATCACCAGCTGATTACTGAAAAAAATTGTCCAGATACATACCACCTTTTTGTCTTCCATCGAAGAATTTATACTAATGAGCAAAAAAAAACATTCTGACTCAATAGTCTGCAACTTCTGACATATAAACAAAAAGAAAGAATCAGCTTTTCTTTAATTGTTCAACTAGTTTGACCATATTTAGTTTCATTTTCAGAAAAGGGTGGTTCCCCGTATCTACTGTGGTCAAGTGATAAGGCATTTCTTGGGATGGATTTGTGGCTTTCTTGTGGTGGAATGTTTTCTTTTCTTAGGCCTAATGATTTTGTTCAAAAATATCGATGTATTATTGATATTATGTTTAACTTTGGCTTCTTTCATTGCTATTAATTGAATAAAATATATAAACGAAAAACGGCCAAGATGTAAAGAAAAAAAACATCTTATTTTGGTTACACTGAGACTAATAACCTGAATGAATAACCTAAATAAAATAAAACAAAATAAATGTTCAATAAACCAAAAATAAAATAGCTAAACAAATAAGAAATGTGAGCTTACCCGTTGACCTGCACTGAGGACGAACTTCAGAACAGCAAATAGGCAGAAAGTTAGAAGGCGTTGAGTCTTATGTGCTAGATGTTGAAGAGTATCATGCAATCAGCCTGGGAGGGGCCTGTAAAAGGGAGCTGTTTACGTATGTATGGGAGGTGCAAAGATGCTGATAGGGCTCAATTAAAGTTGCAAGTTGCTCTGTCCAGCTTCAGTTGAGTCTGAGGATAAATGATTATGTAATAATGAGGGAATTCAATGCATCTAAGAGGAAAATATTAATCCTAAACCCTTTTTGGGCCTAGGATCCATGACAGCTTACATTTAAAAATGTCTTCTTAGAGCATATTAACAAAAACCTTAACAAAACTCATTAGTTAACAAGTAGTTTTGCAATTTTCACTGTTATTATTAAAAGTTAATATGCAGCAGTAAGTCACAATTATATTACATCTGATAAATACTTATTGAGTGAATTATTTTGTCAAAAACAGGACAATGGTCAGAGTACTCTGAGTGCAACACAGACTGTTTTCATATTCTGAAGGTCTCCAATACATATTAAAACTAAGTAAACATTTTTAACAATCAATAGTGGTTTATGCCAAGCAAGCAACAAAATTTGAATGACTTATAGAAAGAGTTGTATTGCTTTGTGTTGTTCTTGTGAACTTATAAAATGTTAAGAACTTAATGTAAAAACATTGCAAGGAAATGAAACCAAAAATCTTCACAATGGAACCGTGGATCATTATCAGCTATAACAAAAATCAAAGTTAATAAATAGTTCCTCTTAGTGGTATAATCTTTAATGCATTTCAATTTTAAAAATTATGCCACAACATTTCTAGTCAGGCACATTTTTTTTCCCAATAAATTATATTAAAATTACCTGAATGTTTTACACAGTAGATCCCTTCCAAGTTTTAAATACTGTTCTATTTAAGTACTCTAATAAGTCCTTTGTCTTCAACATTGTTTATTTTTTTTCACCAGCTCCTCTCAAGTGCTATAGGCAACAGTTATGGATTGCATTAAATAAATCTAATTTACTGTCTAGGGTTGAACTTTTTGTCCTTTCCTATTTGCAAAACCCTCAAGCTCAGTCATACTGGATGCAAATATAAGGACCTATTTTCAACTCTTGTCTCACACTCCGAAATGAGTTTCCTTTGCAGGGTGGCTGGGCGAACCCTTCGAGATCGGGTGAAGAGATCAGTTACCCGGAAGGAGCTCGGAGTAGAGTCGTTGCTCCTCTGGGCATCTCTACTTAGACAGCTGCCTCTGCAACTCAGCCCCGGATAAAAGGGAAGGAAATGGATGGATGGATGGATGGATGGATGGATGGATGGATGGATGGATGGATGGATGGATGGATGGATGGATGGATGGATGGATGGATGGATGGATGGATGGATGGATGGATGGATGGTCTCACACTCTAGGTTTGGTTTCACTTTGACATCTAAACAAATTGAAGGTGTATTGATCTAATCATTGACCATGTTGAGGGATGCTACTCTGCTGCAAAGTAAAGAAATGATCCCATCCCTAAAGGTATATTGGAGGATTTTTGCAAATTTCTGAAAAGACCCACTCTCTCCACTTTAAAAAAAAATGCACATAAAAAACTCTGTACTGCTCCCGAGAGGGAACACTTATTAAACATTCAAAAGCATGCAGGAGCCCATTCCTACTCACACACGCTTTGTTTAAAAGTTGCTGTTTGCATCGCTCATATAAGCTTACTTTCCAAAAGAAGATTTTTTCACTATGTCAGACTCACCACCCGTGAGTGAAAATCGGGACGAGCACGTAGGACGGCCTTACGTAAACATATGACCAAAAGGATTGACAATTAGGAGGCCCACTTATTTTGATGATCCACCCAGAAAAAGAACATCCTCCACTATATCTTTAGGTCTTTTGCATTCTCTATCAGGGTTTCTTAAATTTAGACCCCTATGTATACTATACTCGGAGAAACTGCAGCCACTATCATGTTTTACATTTGATGGGCAGTGCTAGCTTTCCAGTTTACAAAGGAACATGTACATCCTTTTTCTTCTGAACCCAAAACATTCTTTCAAATAACGTTAGTTGGATATAACTTTATATCCAAGTAACGTCTTCCTATGGGCAACGACTTGAAACCACAAACTAAACTGTTCATAACTTATTTTTTATGGTACCCCAATAACATGTAGGTGAATCACTGTCCCCCAGACATCCGTGGTTATATTTTTTATATTTATATTTTTTAAAACAAAGCGGAGGGATCCGCGCGCCGGACCGTAGTTGTGACAGGCAGCCCGAGCCACTGCCGGCTACGTTCTACCCCTTCTATTCATTCGGCTAGCTAATCTGAATGGTTAAATTCCATTTGGAGAGCGAGAACATCTGTGGTAGTAGCACTAGACATCTTCCAGGCATGTGAATAAAACTAGCAGCAGTTCAGTGGACAAGATGAATGAATGTTAGCCGGTGCGCGCGGATGACGTCATACACACTCTGCTTTGTTTTTAAAAGATATAAATATAAAAAATATAACCGCAGATGTCTGGGGGACAGTAATTCGCCTACATGTTATGAATGCTGATCTACCATAAAGAACAAATTATGAACAGTTAAGTTTGTGCCTTCAAGTCGTTGCCCATAGGAAGACGTTACTTGATAACGGAATATCTTCAGAACAGCTCCAAATGACACAAAACTCATATGGCTATAGAACATGATGTAATAACGTAAAATCAAGGGCCAAATGGAAAAAAACGGTGTTCCCCTTTAAACGAGGGGTACAACTTTGTCCAGATGTGTAATGTTTATTTGATAACATGGGTTTATTCTTATTGGCAGATGATTGGTTTATCAAACTCCTGAGTTTAAAAGATAAATATGTTATTCTGCTGGTATCGACTGACAGACAGAGGGCAGCAGAAGCAGGGTCCAGCTCCTCCTGACTGGATCACACAAGACAAGCAGCATCAGCATCACCACCATCATCATCAGCATCACCCTCCATTCTCGGTCACAAGGACAAGCTCTGCATCCAGAGCCGCACAGGGAACGGGGACAGTCTTTTTCATTTTCTGTAGTAAGAATCCTTATCACAAAGCAGCGACATGTTGGCCTGCACGGAGCTGATCACCATGTGTCTCCAATCCGCCAAACACGAACACCTGAGAAAGCAGCAGGAGCTCGACCATAACCAGAACCAAGGCATCGCTTTATTCCAAGATGTGAGTAAACACCGAGGCGCTCCAGCCGCAAAATGCAGCGTTTCCATTTATCTGTTCAATGCGTCTGCAGCTGGTATCGGATAAATGAATCTTTTGAATGTTTGGATCCTATTTAAAAGGTCTTCACTTTCTGCAGGGCTTTTATTTCCTCTCTGTACATTAAGACTGACTAACTGTCCTTCACTCCTCTTTATGAATGGCTCTCACTTAGTTAAAACATGCTCCATTCACGGCACTGTTACGTACACTGGAAAAAGTGTAGCACAGAGTTGTTCATTCAAGCTAATACCTACCATTGAATACAATGTAAAATAATTGACTTGGTTGTGAAAGTCTATTTTTTTGCATTCTGAGGTGTCAATTTTGATTCAGACTGAATTAATAACAATTCTGAAGGGAAGAAAGCAAATATTTTGGTTCCTCTCAAAACGTGATTGAGTCACGTGACTCAATCTGAGTCACGTGAGAAGAAGTTGGGGAGAAGTGCTTGGAGAGCTTCGTCCATTTTGGCATGGGGAAGAAGGAATGATTAACGTCCTAGCGCCTCATCAAAGAATAAACCTGCGGTAAGTACTAAACTAAGCTGATGTAAACGGGTCTTAACAAGCCTACAATTGTATTAATGCAAAAGACTGAGTTAATGTCACCTGGTTAGCAAGCTGAAAGTCCCACCTAAATGTGGGTATCCCAGTAAATGCTTTCTTTTTCGCCGGGTTAAATGTGGTGTAATTTCTGAACTTACACGTATTTCACGAGAAATATAACTATGTGTACATTGTTCGGTTGTAGCTGGAATTAATCAAGGTAGGCATAATTCGTTACCAATCAATAGCTTCCACCACGGTTAGCTCGGCTACACGGTGAACTTTACTAGCTTAACCCATGTAAAGCCATGTTAGCAATTAGTTAGTCTAGTGCAGGGGTCGGCAACCCGAGGCTCTGCGGCTCTGAGTGGCTTGGGAAAATAAATTACTAAAAAAAACTAAGTATTTAATTTAAGTCAGTGGCCTCGCCAAACTCACGCTACCGCCTCGCCAACGTTCCAAAATAAAAAATAAAAAAACCCCCAAACCCCTGAAGTTTTAATTCATTGCCAGGCCCAGACATTAAGACAGAATCGGTCTCCGCCAGTCACGTGACATTTGTTGCTAAGACGCCATTTTAGGTGGAAAAGGCGTAGTGTACCGCGCCTGAGGTAAACAGATGAGTAATTTTCTTTGATCATCCGAGGAGACGTGTGGGGGGGGGATGACGTCTTCGTCGTCATCATCATCGGTGAACTATATCTGAAAAGGTAATTAGTTAATTAAAACTGATAATAGAAAATTAATATCTGCCTCGTGTGCGCTGACATTGTTGTTTATATGTTATTGTTATTGTTATTGTTATATGTTATTGTTTTTTCGTCGTTAAAAAAAACCCGTCATACTCGCATTTGAAAGAGACATTCAGACATTGTGTTATTTTTTCAAGAATTCAAAATGTGTTCATTAGATAAAATTTTATTTTCTTTGTAGCACTTTGTTGATTTCATAAGCAACCCACTTTTCTTGTTTATACAAAGTATAAAGGTAAGAAAAAACAATATAAACAGTTTCTAAAGTCTAAAAAAAAAAAAAAAAATACTACTTGTTCTTCTTCCTCAAAAACTTATTTTTTACAGACTTAAAAACTTCTAAAGACGAGGGAAAAAATATTGATACATTAAAATATCCCAATATCTTCTTATGCTGATATATTGCCATTTAAAAACACCATATCAATCTCTTTTACTAATGAAATATTGATATATGTCATCGTTATGCTACGAAATCCCCAGAAAATTCACAAAATTTCACCATATTTTTATGTTGATATATTGACGTGGTATCGTTCTATTTTACTAACAAAATCTCACAAGAA